GCATTCAAACGATTCCAGTTTTTGTAACAACTTAGATCGAGGAATGGAATCAAATGCAGAAGAGTAGTCGAGAAAAACACACCAGACAGACTTAACAGAGCTGTTCAAAGACTCAGTGATAAAATGAATGAGGGTGGAGACTGCGTACAAGGTCGATCCAATAGGCTTGTAAACAAACTGAAACGGATCACTGGGAGTGTTTATCGACTACTGAACGCGTTTGGGGATGGCCTTGTCGGTCAATTTAAGAGCTGAAGATGTTAATGCTATATGGCGAAAACGTGTGAAGAGGATAGAAGATTTGGATGCTTTGGGGATTGGTATGATTGTGGCCGGCCTCCAACAGTCGGCGATAGTAGAAGTGTGAAAGTGGAGGTAATTGCCCCAGCTAGTGAAGCAGCACCAAATTTGAAGAGGGCTGGATGTAAGTTATCCGGGCCTAAAGTCGAAGATGACTTGCAGCTTTTTAAAAGTTTTAACACATCATGATATAAGAATAGTTCCATTTTACAAACATTTTGTGACGAGTAGGCAGGAAGAATGTCCGATAACTGGCACAGAAATGCGGCATTGAGATTATCGGCGTCTACAACTACTTTCGACCGTACTTTCCTCCTTCCACAAAGAAATCTTATACCTTGCCACAGGTGTTTGCTGTTTCCAGTTATCAGAATTCGATCGGAGAATAATGCGTTCAATCTATTTACTTCAGCTTTGATAAACCTGGACAAATTCCTAACAGCTGAAGCGTTGTGAGACTTGTACGCACGTTCCTTTTGTTGTCGCAGTGGCTTTAGTAGGGGAGAGTTAATCCTTCCGTTGGACACATAAGGGCTTTTAACAGGGCAGCAGTAATTATAAATAGCATTGATTGGGTGAATGGGGAAACAAGTTTGAATGCTGACGTCAATGACACGTGCATAGCTTCTGAATACACGTCATTGGTGGATGGTGCCAGCCAATCCAAGACAATGCAGACCGAAGCAAGAGTATACAGGCAGTACTGCAAGCCAAATGGTGAAAGCCCAGAAAGCCAATAATCTCCTTTTGTACATATTATTTATTCACCTTTATTTTTCCCAATAAAGGAACTATTTAATGCCTGTCCTCTGGCCTTTTCCTCGCGTCTCGTTCTCGCGGGACATTGCGAATCCGTGCCATTGTGGTCTAGTGCTTCTGCGATCCAGTCCGTGATAGCTGATCATTGATTCGGGTCCTGTGATTCATATTGCGTGGTTGGTGTTCCGAATACAATACAATACAATCACTACAGACACTCATCTTTGACAGAGGGCTGCAATTAAGGGCAACTTGCCATCCTGCACGCTTGCGTTTTTCGGTCCAGCCTGGACAATGAGAAACTGGAGTCGCACAAACCGCTGAACCATCGAAGCATGTTCTGGCAGGTTTGAAACAAACAATGTGATCCCGTGAGTAACGACGACGCATGATAGTGCGTGAAAATGTGAAAATTCCCACAATGTGACGGAGAGCATGTAAGTGTAGCGCAGCCAATCGAAGGGCGCGCATTCAGGCCTTGAAGAAATTTTCGTATCTGATTGCCTCGGCGAGGGCACCTAGTCAAGCATAAATTTGTGATCCCTAACTATCCGCGTGGGCACATGAACATGCTGAACAAGCGAGAGAGTCCGGACAGCAAAAAAAGCTCTCTGGAAAACAAATCCGCGTGCTGAGAGCAGATTTCAGTTTCCCAATCAATATGTGACCCATTGATATCACCCAAAACAAGAACATGTCCATCGCAGGCGTACCTCTGTATGCTGACCAACGGCTCCAGGACGTACACAGTCGGTGGGCGGTAGATCACTCCAACTGTGATATACCCTCCGGCACAAAGCTTGATTCTGCACCACAGGGATTCCGTAGAAAATCAATTTACGGTTGTTACCAGACAGCAAACTTTGGAATGACCCCACATTGGACATTGTCATCCAGTCACGTTTGNATACGGGAAGTGACTCTCTTTGAATTGCTTAACTCTAAAAACTGGTTGCTCCTTACAACTGGATGCTCATTCGCATCGAAATTATCACAATCGGCTTATCTATGAATCAACTGTGATAACTCCGCTCGAAATTCGTCCATCGCGTCACGTAACACCGTCAAACTTTGCTAGTTTTTTTATTTTGTAGGTCTGAATACTACATCCGTCTGATCGAGAACTAAACTAACCTGTAGAAGCTTTGAAGTCACTATGATGCATTTTCCTGCTAGTTCAGTCCACTTCTTAAAAACGATACTGGGTCATCGTGAAGAGCTCACCATGCATTTCCTTCATAGTGGTAAACCAAGGTTACATCGTTCACTGCACTCAACTTATCCCTGGTTTTCAGGCCGTATCTTCCCTGAGATGCACTGGATTTGACAAATTCCTCAATAATATTTCGACTGGATATAACACTGTCAACAGTTTTCCTGGTACTACCTGGCTCTTTCAACATTTTAAACACTTTCGGCTTATATCTGATAGAAAAGTGTCTTTTATTCCTCATAAGGGCAATTAGTGAACAGCTTGATGTGTGCATCAAACTAATTGAAATGTCGATGACAATCAAATAGTAAAACTTGCCTTGAGAAAGGTCACCCACGATAACCGAAACGTCGGCGAATATAATTCTCTACCGATTTTCGTTGTGTTATTAACACTATAACATTCACAATAAAACAACACATGGCGCACCGAGTTTTCGATACACTCCTAATGTCATTTGGTCATGATTTGGTAAAAATAATTATGATCTCTTCGATTTTGACCGCTTCGCCTTCCTGTAACCACCCTCCCCTCGCCCTATGCCGCCCCGCATTGGACATGAACCCAATCAAATCTACTGTGGATAGCTACACCTTGTTCCGCATTATCCTTGGTGATTTCGATTTTGCCGCACTTGAGCGTGCGAACAGCGTGTTCGGTCCGATCTACTTCATTGTCTACGTGTTTTTCGTGTTCTTTGTCCTGCTCAACATGTTCATCGCGATTATCAACGAGACCTACGTCGGAGTCAAATCGGATTTGCAAAATCAGACAAACGATTTTGAGATGAAGGATTTCTTCAAAACGGTACGTTCTCAGTCCCAAACACAATTTGCACACCTATTCATTTGTACATCCAACTATGTTCTGTTTATTTATCTATCTGTCTGGCTGTCCGGCTATCTATCTATCTATCTATTTATTTACCTATCTATTTGTCGTACCAAACAAAATTTGCCGATTGTCAAGTGAATTAAGAAAATGCGCGGACACCAGAATAATTTGTGTTTTGTGTTTTCCATTCCCATCTACTGGTTTCGCGATAAACAAGCAGCATTTGCAGCGTTGGCTAATACGTTTAGACACACACACACACACACACACACACACACAAACAGACCTTGACACAGCGAATAATGTTGTTGCTGTTGCTGTTTTGTTCTCCCTGCTGGCAGTGTTTTTCGCAGACGTTTCATAACCAGGCTAGACAACTTCATCAATGCAACTGAGAAGAAGCGTCACCGATATATCGTTTTGGGCAGTTCTTGCAGTTTATCTCTATTGTTAACATTGCTCTTGTGCTTCTACATTGTTTTCTCCTTTTGTTTCGAAACGAGTCACCTTAGAGACAGGTGGTCGGTTTGTGAGCGACTTGGATTCCGCATGGTCTGAGCAGTCTTGCTGCCATTTCCGAAATGTCCTACCCACAATGACTGATATTTCCCCACCCCACTCCCGCACCCCCCATCCCACGAAGATTAAGGAAAAAATCAATTCGAAAGTCATCCATCAAGTCCGGTCCAAACACGCCGGAGAATTTCTTGAGGTTTGGCATTCTTCAATCAATCCAATCAACGGGCATATCAGATCGGATAACTAATGCAACACAGGGATCACGTGACTTGACAGAATGTCACGTCATGACCTGAGAACGGACAATAAATCGCAACCAGGACGGAATAACAGCACCACCATCACAATCAAGCCCCTCACATCAGATCACCGTTAGCCGAGTGGAAACAAGGGATGAAAATAAACGTTGGAGAAGAACACACATAAACGAACGAGTACAAGCGAAACACTGCCACTTCACAAGCACTGACGCTTTCATCTGGACTGGTGCTGAAACGTTTGCCAACAACCTGACAAGTTCGATGAACTGGCGAAATGGAATCCAGCGTTTTGTTTTATGAAAAATAATAATGATTTGCAGTAATGCATGTTATTATGAGAGTACTTAGTGTACGAGATGCGCATCTAGTTTCGGTGAACTAGAGAAGTATGGACAAACATGCTTGCTGTCAGGGTTACGAACGTAGGTATTCGTTTATCGGTATGCTTTGTGTGGGCGAGGTGGGGGGGGGGACGTATGTTACGCAGAAATAATTTGGTCAAATGCGATCCCAAAGAGCTGAGATAACAGGATTATATTCATAGAATTTTACAACCGTATTCCTTCCCGACAAAAAGACGAAGAAGCGAAAATCGAATCAGCAGTAACCGGTCAATGTCAGTGAGCTGTAACATGTTGTGGCATTCGTCATGCTGTGTTTTCTCCAGGCAGCGAAAGAAGTACCTGTTTCACGATGCAATTAATCTCTGATTCTTCTCTATTGAATCAATATTATAGATTGATTCATTTGTGTTCCTTCAACGTTTCTACTGGGTATTTTGGTGGTGATCAGTTGGCCGTGGATGGGGATCAAACTAAGCGGATAATCTAGAGTGTAGTTCATCTGATCGCTAAAGCGCGCGGTTCACTTGACCCGATTGGACACTCCACGACAGCACAATGATCGGGCAGTATGCACAGTCTGGCCATCCCCCAACGCCTCAAGGTGGTTTTGTTTCATTTGAAAAACTCTGTTCGCCGACATGGAAAAACGTGATTTTTACCAATTTTGATTTATTGAGTCATTATTACCAAACTTCCACAATCAGAGACTTCATGGGTCAGTGTCTCTGTTATCGCTTCGTTCGATATGGCGTCAATTGCAACACTTTCGTTCAAACCGTGTACACTCTTTGAAACGCTAGGCAGCATTAAATACCATTGCCACAAAGCGCTAACGCACAATCGAAAAACGGATCAAAAAGGCAGTTTGTTCTGATTCTAGGGCGCATGGATTTTGCGAAGCTTTTGCTGGTAATTAAAAACGCGCCTGTCTCGATCAAGTGATCAACCAAACTGAATTACGCAAATGTTTTTACGAACAGTATACCAAACGAAACTGGGAACAAACTAGATGGTTCTTGTGTTTTCTATTGTTCAATTACCCCACTCGTCCCCCCAACTCCAGTCACAATGTCATTGTAATTTATTTCCTTTCTTTTTATTGTTTTTCACCCCTACCCCCATTCATTACCCGCACTCGCACTTTCTGTTCATCCAAACTGTACAGCGCATGAAGAAAATGTTGGATAGATTGCATAGGAAGAAAAATCGAATCGAGAAATTGCAACAAGCAATGGAATTGGCTAACACAAACAAAGGTGGTCGAATGGATTTCCTCGAACTGCGGGAGCATTTGAACTCGTACGTTTGTCCCAATTGAAAAATAACGTTTGTTTTTGTTCCCCAGGGCAATTTCCCATTTGGAATAGCGACGTTTACAAAATGTTGGCATGATCTGTTTGTCACCGATAAGTTTGTTTGATGCATAATAGAAAGCCGTGATCGCACTGTGCCCCATACATCATGTACACAGGGCCTATGACGTGCAGTCCAAACAGCCACACAGTGGTAAACCGTCACAAGATATCGCTTGCAATCGTAGGTGGATGCGACCCACAAAAAGCAAGACGTGGGAAACATACCGGTATCCGTAGTGTAAGAATTCAAACCGCCCACCTCGGCCCCACCACAGATTTGAACAATAACGATCAATAGTTTGCAATCGATAAACAATGAAGTTTTCCGGTCAATGCATACATCCTGAGAAGTCTCATTTACATGCTGACCACAGGGTTGACTTGACACGAAAGCATAACACGTTACCCCATTTTTTCTACCAAATTGGAGACTTTCTGAACAGTTCAATTGATCCCAACAACAGACACATAGTAAACGGTAAACACTACACCAACCTGATTCATCGGTATTAGGGCAGCATTTATTTTGAAAATATGTATATCTATGAAGGTGAACAACAAACTCAAATTATAGTAATACTAATGATATTACTAAATATCTTCATGATAATATTCAGGTAGATAGCTTATGAATCCGACCTAATACATTTGAATAAGTGTATGATCTCAGTTGGCATTTTAATCACCTTCTATTTGTTTCTCAACCACTCCCCCCCCCCTATTTTTTTAGACAAGGTTTCACTGCAGAAGAAATCGATAATGTGTTCGGACGATTCGACACGGACCAGGATAAAACATTGTCCAGTGTGGAACAGTTAAAGATGCAAGCCAAACTGGAGGAGGAAAAGGTATACGGGTGAAATTGGACTTCCGTTACACCTGACAAGATGTATGCTAAGCGCTGATATAAACTCGAACGTAGTGACCTGATTTAGATAAGATTGTAAAGTTGAATCACTCTTGGAAAGTATTGCGATGCATCGTATTTCCAAAACAAACATGAATTATGAGTCATTAGATAGTCTGAAGGACATCTCAGAAATACGGTGCTCGAGATGTAATCATGAAGACAATTCCTTCGATCGATGCGGTGGCCAAAGTGTGTGTGTGTGTGTGTGTGTGTGCGTAAAATCTGTGCGAAAAAGGTGTTTCATAGTGCACTGTGTTGACAGGAATAAATTCATGTGAGCAGTTGTAGGAAAACTGTCACAGATCAGTAGGACCAATCGGGAAATAAGTACTTTTAGAATACACTCGATTAAGGATCCACCAAACTTCAAGTGAAGCCACATGACACGTGGGGTCGGGAGCAATAATATAGTTAGAGCCACAAGTAAATTGTCATTCTTCACTTCCTATCATGCCTAATTACGTCAATCGATCTACGCGCAATCGAGTATGTCTTAATCAGCGCCACATAGAGTACCATTCAGCAGTTACAAGTATTTTGCTTTATGGTCGATAATAATTGGTTACTTAGTATTCCATTCTTGTTGTCTCCGGTTCATTGTCCGCGTCTGGTTTAACCATCGTGAAACCGATCAAGATGTTCAACAACACAGCCTCGCGGATACCGCGGGATTATGTATATCCACTCGCAATGCGGATTATCGATTGCGACTCGTGGGCACGGCTTCGCACTGTTCGGTCCAGGAAATAACGTGTGTCGTGAAGAAGTGAATAACGGAACTGGCTTCAATCAGTGCTTTCTGATTGGAATGCAAGAGATGATGAATCTGTGTGGTGATCCTGGACCACGCGATGACACACCACGCAGCGACACGTTACGGTTTTCGGATAACCGTAGTAAATCAAGCTTCCCACGTGACGTCAACAAAGCGCGTACGTATCACAGCATCTAGACGATAAACCACAGGTCGAATATACCAATCAATCAGAAACCGTACGGCTCAGATAGAAGCTGAACAACACCAGAAATATTAACACACGATTGGCATAGGCTTGCATGACCAGTGAGCTTGTTTTGTCCATATTATTTAAAAGCTTGGTTTCTTTCAATAAGCGAACAACTATTCATTTAGCTTTTTCTTCGCATTTCGGTTGCGCGGGATACTGCCGTGCAAGTACCAGCGTTATCCAGTGCTCGCATTGCGTCCGTGATTGCTGGTCCGTGATTTCTAATTCGCGATTCGTACATTGCGATCAGTGGGTACTGCAATGACCACAATGACTACAATCTGGTTGGTGAAAAACTTCAGCGTAAAAGACTGGAAATCGAGTATATTGAGGTAATTCCTGTCAAAGTTTATATTGACAATCAGTAATCAGAATCAGTAATCCCAACCACACTCGAATCATTGAATCTCATTGTTAGTCATTTGTCAAAGGCAACCTTCAATGAAAGGCAGGTAAAAGGCCATAGAAGTAGCGGTTCGTTTATTGAAACAAATCAATGGACTTATGTAATAGTTACAAAGAAATATCATTGGCTAAACGGATTTTATCAATTGCCGCACGGGTTCCCTCTGCGTCTCAGAGTCCTTTTGTTCTT